AGGCTACTTTCCCTCTTTATTATTTTAATGAAAATATTTAAGAGTAACAGGAGCTTTGTTATTTATATATATGAGGTTCAAGATAAAATTCAATTAGCCCAACAAGTCAAAAGGCCAGTAGGTTAATTGTTTTCTTATACTGTACTGGAGAATCCAACTTCAGTTAGAAAAAAATGAAAGTAACTCAAGCACGTGTGTAGAAGTGTATCATATGAAGGTCTCCCCACGCTCAGTCAGTCCCTCTGGCTTTCCTTATCTCCATCCTACTTCTATTTTTCTCTCACAATAAAATACTTTTCTCCCCCCCAAACAATCTTCTGACCTCCCTGACCACCACCCCCGCCCCCCTGTGAGAGCTACGCGCTTGATCTTCCCGAGGCCTGGAAGGACGGGGTGCCACCTTTGGTTTGTGCCAGAGGGCACAACACGCTGCCTAGTGCTGCTTACTCTCATCCTAGGGCCAAACTGGGCAGTAGGCTATGGCCGGCAGCCTTGGAAGAGGGGTGTCACCAGGTAGGGTTTCATATACGCCAGGGTCCTCTGGTTCTACATGGAGCATACACAGCCAGTGAAGCCCATGTGGTCTGTGTTCTAAGAGGCGCACACAGGAACCTCTTGCCAAAAGTTGCCCCTTTATTGACACATCTGTGAACCCATCCTGTTTTTCATCCATCAATGACTTGTCCCCTTGGGGCTTGGTTATCTCGCCGGCTGGTAGCCTTCCCTGTTATTTTATTGCTTACATCCACTAGGAGCCAGGCAGGCCCAAATCGTGACGTGTGAGCCTGGATTTCCCTCTGCAATAAGGAGCATACACCATGCCATACCAAAGTGAGTTTATTGACATTCCTTGAAGGTGGTAGGATAGAAGAGAAAGCGCGGCCTGAGTATCACGTGACATTTTTCTTGTCGATGTAAGCAAAATCAGCCCAGTAATGTGGACTTCTCCTGCTATGACTAGAACAAAGACTTTTTAACAAAATTGTTATAGACGTTTCCTTAGATAAACTTGAAGCTGCAGGAAGTAGCTAATGGAACAATATTAACTCTAAATACTACCTCTAGGCACCTTTTGTATTTTCTACTAGAACAAAGGGACTACATGTCACTAACAGGAAAATAACACTTTCTCTTTTGGACTTAGTGATGGTGGGAACATCCATCCCATATTTTTGTGATATAGTATTGCAGTAGTTTTAATCATGAACACTGAAATACATAATAATAATAATAATAATAATAATAATAATAAAGCACCACATTTGTTATGTAAAGTCCTAACTACTTTCATTTGAAAGTGTTTTCATCTTGACTGGGAAAATATTTGTGGCCTTTGAAACATGTTCTGAATCCCAAATTCATGCACCTGGCTTGACATATGGACTGACAATCTGACTGATACATTAGGACGGTCCTGAAAAGCTGAATTCACTGGCTTGGCACACAAGTATTCTTACAGTAAAGGACACGTGGTCGTGTATTAAAAGGAGAGCGATTTAAGTATTGAATACTTAGTCATCTCAAAAATCATATATCTCTTTTTTTCTTAATTTTCTCACTGCCTTTCTCTCAATACTTTGTGGTACAAAGTGATGGTAGTGAAAATTTTCCACAACTTTTGCCTGTTTATATACAAAGGAAGTCGCAAAGAGTTCAATAGACCTAGAGTGCTTCCTCTGAACCTGCACAGTTGGTTTTTATTTTTGGAATTAACCTCTTTATATTTCAGGGTAAAATGTTTGTGGTACTCATGAAATCATTATAATACCTTAAAGTATTTTTCAAAGTAGAACTATAAAATTTCCCTTATTTGTCATTCTTGCTTGTCTCTCTACAAAGGGTCTTTAAAAAGAAAAAAGTAAAAGAAAAAGATCTTACATTTCTATCAAAACTCTTGCTAAAATATAATCTTGTTTTAGAGGAGTTGTGACTTATAGGTGATTAATTTTGCAATTTTCCTTCTTGGGGAAAATTCATGCTTTAAGTTTAAAGAACAAGTATATATTATATGTAACAAATGGGTCTGCCTTTCCCTTTCAATTAGACTATTAGAAGTGGCTCATGGCTCCACCTGTTGCAATTCATGAGAAAATTTAGTCTTACAGCTGTCTTCATATATATGATAACATGATGTATGAATTTAAATCAGACTTAGTTATGAGGTAAAAGATCTATACCTTGATTTTCTTCCCCAAAGAAAGGCTGGAATGGAATGCTAGAGACAAGTTAAGCAAACTTCACATTTTCGCAGGTGATTTTGACATCAGTATCTCCTTGTAGCATTTTGCACTTTTGTGAAAGGCCGTGCCTGTTACACTTAGTGAGCTATATCTGGCCAGGCAGTTATGGGTGAGATGGTAGTTAAGAAAAAATTAGTTGAAAAATCACTGACATCCCAGTTCTATGCTTTTGTATAAATTTTTACGATAACCTAGTTCTTTCTGTGTATCGTAATACTATTTATGAAGTTCTAAAGCTCTCCAGGAGTGGACCATCTTTTGAGTACTTTTCTTCCTTTCCAAGAAATACTGACCAAAAAAAAAAAAAAAAGAAAGAAAGACTGACAAATACATAGATGAGATGGTGGATGCCTGCAGTCTCAGCACTGTGGGAGGCTGGAGGCAAGAGGATCACAAGTTTGAGTCCAGCCTGGGCAACCTAGTTTTTAATGAGACACGGTCTCAAAATTAGAAAAAGAAAAAAGGTCGGGAATGTAGCTCATTGTAAAGGCCCTGGATTATATACCCAGTATTGCCAGGGAGCGAAAAATGGGTTGTGGATGTATGAAGGTTCTGGGTTCAGTTCCCACTACCACAAAAAAAAAGTATGAAAAAAGAGTCGAACATTTGAATTAATGATTGTGTATGTTGTTGTTGCTTTTTGGTATCAGGAATCAAACTGACAACCTTGTACTTGCCAGACCGGTGCTGTGCCACTGAGCTATATTCCCGGTGATTATGCACCTATAATCCTAAATTCTAAAGATGAAAGATGCTGCCATATTAGAGATGCTGTGCAAAGAGTTAGGATAATGATACGATCAAATGATTTCCATAATCCTAATGGTCTCATTGCATATATAACACCTGTACTGGAATCCATTAGTTATCAGATAGTGAAATGCATACTGAATTTTACTTATCTGTCATATTCTGTATCATAGAATGTACACATTCCATCCTATCTTGGTAAATATTCTTTTCAGGCAATACTAGCTACAGACTAGATTTCTATAATATGAATTCCCTGACGGAGAACAGGAAAACAGCAGCATGTGGTGCTGGGCTTTGTAACTAATTCTTATTTTGTTTTAGAGCTTTATACTACTTTAGAGTTTATTTTAGTTTCATTTTCTTTTGGTACAGGAAACACAAATAATACCTTGCTCCTATAGAAACTGATATAATGAGCCACAAGGCACAGCCTCATCTGAAATTAATTTTGTCTTACATTTTTCATATTTCTCCCTCTTTTAATACATTGAAAATAATGTGACATTTACATCGTCAGGTCTTTAACTTTCCCAGTGAAGAAAAACACTTTCATTTTTGACACATTTCAGACAACATGGGTAACAAGGTTACAAAAATAGCAAATGACCAGTAGAGTTGGGTCAATCTCAAATGTAATCAAGAGGTGAGGTCTTCAGAGCCTGCAACTTTGTTTTTTGAAAACACAAAAGTTTTGAAAGCTATCTTTTTACTGAATGCTAAAAGAAATTGGATATTTACTTTGACACAAATGAAATGAACGCGCCTTCGGAGGATGGAGGATCGCTATGGATGAAGGAGAAGCACATATTGCCCTTGATCCTCAGCAAGCACCGTCACTCTCTGCAGCTTCTTAGTGTGCTCTCCGTAGAGGGCCAGAGGAGGAGGAGCTTGACCACCAGGATTTCAAAAACAAAATAGTGTATGAAAAAAAAAATCAGCTTAAAGAAAAAACAAAGATCGCCTGCTGAGTAAGTAAACTTGGATTTAACAAAGAATCATGAAATTCTCTACACATCTTTATTTTTTTTTCTGTTGTGAAGAACTGTACCCAGACTCAACAAAACAGTACAGAACCCAGGTATTCGAAACAATGTACCACGTCCTTCATCTCCTTTCTCCTGTTTGTTTTACCACATTGTATACAACACAAGGGGGTTGAAGCCTCATTCTTTAGCCTACGTCAAGGAAGATTTCATTCGTAAACATGTGCACAAGTTTGTGCTTCTTGTGTGGTGTTTATTGGAGGTGCTCTCCCACCTCCTGACTTCTCTGAATTCAAGTTGAGCCCATGGTCCCCACAATCACTGGGATGCACTGCGTCGCATCAGCAAGACGTGTTTATTTTGATGTTGTTAGTTATTGGACGTGTCATATTTGCACCATTTGTCTAGGCTAGTTCCGGCTGATGGGACTGATGCCACCTATGGATCATGAGTTGAATGTATAAAAATTTCAGTGTTGCCACTTGCTGTCCTTTGGATGGGTAGTACACATGGGGAGAAGCAGAGTGGGAGGAAAACAAAGAGTTGATCAGCTCCTAGGTCTGGAGTTGATGGCTAGAAATGATAGAAAATGGTGGCTCTGTTTAGAAGACATGGGCGTATAAAAGCTTGGAATGCAAATGCTGCTGAAATTTTCCCTTAAATGATAGAAATGGAAGTAAACATTTATTACCATTTGGTCAAGTGTAGCATAACTTGCATTCATATTTCATTGTTAATAATGGAGGTATGTGGAGATATACACAGACCTTGAGACAGCTGTTTTGTATTTTAATATTGCATACAGGCTAGCAGTTCATTGAAAACAGAGGAGAGAAGCCTGAAGGTTAGATCTTAGAAGAAGGCAGTTCTTCATGCACAGCTTTGTCAATCCTGATTTTGTTTCAAAATAAAAATAATGGAATACCAAAATCAAAGGAGAGTCAATTAAGGGAATAGGAAAGGGGTCATCCCAGAAAGAGTGATGTCACTGGCCTGGAAAACATCAAGGTGAGGCTCCGTCTCCTCACTCAAGTCCAAATGTGCTGGTTTCTTCTACTGCTGTCAATAGCTTTTCATACAACATGGAGTAAGAGGGATATGGTGGAAGATCCAGTCGGTTGAAGCATGTGTGTGCCCTAAATGGAAGAGAAGAGATGGGTAAGAGTATTTTGGTGGTGTGACTGGCTCTGGAGATTATCTGTGACTTCAAAGGGAAATCAAAAGTGAACAGGGTCATGATTTAGGACAGTTATAAAACACTGCAAACTGCAAACCAGAAAATACTGGTTGAGAAAATGGAACAACTAGAAATAGGTGGTTGGGATTTGCAAGCAAACCACCACGGCGAACCGACGATCAACTCTGCACCAGCTGGCTTTTGCAACTGAGATATAAGCTTAGATGCAGTCTTTGAAGGAGGAAGAAAAACAATTACCATTAAAAGATCAGATTCTTAAGTCTCCTTGCCCACCTTCTAGTTCTGGGTTGCCTTAACCAAGTATATGCTGGAGGAATCCACAATGCTCTGGGATTTAGAGATTCAGTTCTGTGTTTAAGTCAGGTATGCCCTGGAGACAAGTCGGACTCTTCAATCCCTGTGTAATATGCATCACCTGAAGTGGAATGGCTGCATTTCCAAGAAAACCTGTGCTTGGGACACAGCCCTCCCTCAGTACCAAAGTGTCCTCACAACACTGCCCCAGGTTCTGTCTCACCTGTCACATGCTTCATCCTCCAGACCCAGGCCTGCCAGAGTCTGCCCTGGACCATGAATGCCTTCCTTGCACAGGGACCTGAAAATGCCCCTGTGGGTCTCCAGAAGTTAGAAGAGAGGCACAGTGTGCACAGATGCCTCCTGTGTCATCTCAGTCACCTCACTAGCTACTTGCTGTCAAAGAGTTTTGTTTTTCTATGAACCTCTCTTGATACTAGGTCCTGTATCAAAGTAAGGAGAAAGGAGGAGGGGTGCTGCTGAAAGTTAATTTTACCCTTCTTCCCCCCTGGAAGGAGTCATGCATTGACATAATGTTTGGACACACCAGCCAGCACAGAAAGGACACTCAAATCAAAATCAAAATAAAATAAAATAACAAAACCAATGTATGCACAATTAAAACTACATTCTCGCCACTGGCTTATATTTGGGACATTAACCTCCTTTAATTGTAATATCTCTCTTGGAATTATCTATGTTTTTGTTTTGAATTCTATGGCCAGCATACCAGGTGGTATGCTGAGATCACTGAGAAGACAGGTGCAGCACCACTCAGGGACATTATGGGGGACATAATGGGGGACATTATGTTGGGGATAATGAATGAGGGAACTGGAGAAAGGGAAGGTACCTTTTCCTGTGGAGGAGAATCTGAGGAAGATGTCAGTGGTTTCTTTCTGATCTTTCCAGTGTCCCTTTGCCCCTTGCACAGGGACCTGAAAATGGTCCCCCAGATCAGCCCCCTTCTCAAACGTGGGGAGCTGTCTCTCTCATCCCCACTCCCTCCCTTCCTTTCCTCTTCCCCACTCAAAAGACAGCACTAGTGGAGTTCTTCAGCCGTTACCAAAGATTCAACCTCACCTCTGCTACTTCCAAAGAAAACCACCTAAATATTTTATCCAAACCAGAGTGTACGAATGAGAGTGAAGGGAAAGGCAGTATGTAGAGTAGGGCAGTGACGGCAGTGATTCTTCTCTAGGTTTAGAAAGCTCGAAACTGGAACATGCCCTGGGCTGTGGCTCACTAAGTTAAGTAGAGCAGAAAAGTCCCCAGTGGGTTTGGAACTAGCTGCATTAGCCAGGAGTGAGTTATAAGCAGACACCACCTTGATTTTAATGGCGCCTGAGAGCAGAAATATTATAGGGAAAACTTCTCATATTTACAAATTAGTTGGAGCCAAAGTAATTGTGAGACAATTTTGAGGAGCAAATGGGAAGCATGAGCAAATATAAGTTAAAGAATCCTGAGTTTACATATTGGCTGCTTTCCTTGTATTTGTCAGCAGTGCTGGTTAACTCCCTTAGCTAGGTCCTGGTTTGCCATCTAGAATGAACTAAATCAAATCTCACTAGGACTCCACATTCCTGTGTGCTCCCTGCCCTCCAGGTGTGGCTCTGGCAGTAACAGTGCTCACTGCTGACCTCATTCCCTGTGCTGGAGGCCAAGCAGTGCCAGGCAGGTGTGGGCCATGGGAGTAGCTGGGGAGCCACAGGTTGGGCCCCTCCTCTCATCCCAGTCTAGCCACTGACCAGCTTTATGACCTTGGGAAAGTCAGTTAATCTTCCCAAGCTTCAGTTTTCTCACTTGTAAAATGGGGCTAATAATACGTGTTGTGGGTACCTAAGAGAGCTACTGGGAAGCACACCGACAGAATGCACATCAATGCTTTCATAACCTGTGAGTCATCATTTAAACGTAAGATTCTCTAATAACACAGTCATGACTGGGATAATGATTTGAGGAACTGTGTCATGCTTGTGACTTAAGACTTTGGGCTTTTCCACGCAACCTACTGGCAAGTGAATCACCTTCAATCTCCTAATTAATATTTTGAAACTCCACAAGGCTCTTCTCAATCCTGCCATGTCAAATTCCACTGTGTTGATGTCAACCTGGGGTTTGGAAACACTGAGATGGCTCTGGATTTAGATTGTGTCGCTCAGTGTACTGAATAGCCCTCTGACCATTGTCATCTGCTCAGTTGATTTCTCTGTCGCCTTGAGTTTTTCTAAGTTATTGCTTGAAGTATTAACCAATACAGTGTTAGTGAAAGTCTTGTCCTGTGCACTAACGACTGCTCAAAGTCGTCCAGAAGAAATGACAGAGGCAGCCATGATGACTGCTGGTTGCTCTCTCAGTTGTGAGGCCAGCTGAGAAAGTTGTGCAATCCTTTCACACGTCTTTTTCCACTGCCTAACCACAGGCTCATTCATTCAGGTGGGTCTCATCTTCATCCCGCTTGAGCCCACTCTTTGTGAAGTTTGCCCATACATCAATCCCAAATCCAGAAGCCTGTGCACTAGCTCACTTGCTCAAACTCCTTAAAGCCCAAAAGAAAAAAATCTTTCCTCTTTTTAAGGTGATGTTTCCCAAGTGTTTGTACAGTAACAGAAAACTGACTGACGCAAGTGGTCATGTCAACGTAGATAGATCTAAATTAAATGCAAGTCTTATTTTGTAATTGGAAAACATCAAATGAATAAATAGGGGTCAATATTATCTTCTGTTTGTCAAAGCAGTATTTGTCAGATGAGATCAGGGATATTCATTCACAATAGTATAGATTCCAAGTGGTATTTGTTACCATGCTGTTTCTCCTGGAGCATCTCTTTGTGCTCTTTGTATCACTGACAAGGGATATGTTACCCAGAGTGGCATAGAAAAGATGCATGGCATGAATAATTCACTGTGTAAAACTGCTTTGGCTCCTATGGCCTCCTTTCCTAAATCTATCCCATAATTCTTGCTTTATAGAGTACTCTATAGAGGTCGTTATAGAGCCTGAAGGATACTGGTGGTCTCATCTTCAAATGTTTTAAAACTAAGTGGGAAAAACATGACACACATGCACATGAATATATAACTACCCAATCAACTATCAAGTGATAGGCAATAGGTGTACAATATTGTCCTGGAGAGTTACTTTTGGACTCCTTACACCAATGCCCTTACTTCCCTTCCCTCATGTTAGACATTCCTGTTTAAACAAAATTGGACCAAACACACACTCAAAATCTTCCCATGATTGACATGCGGACCAATACATGACAGCCACAATACCATTCATCATCCAAACCAAGACAGCAGTCTCCACCCAAGTTTCAGAGACATCTCACCTATACCTTCCACTAATAACTCAAAAACAAAACAAAACACACTCTGGGTGACAAGCAAGAGTGTTTCAAAGGATGATCATACAACCTCCAATAACAAAGATAAAATTTTCCTTTTGCAATGAGTTTTCTGAAGGTTCGCAGGAGCTCTGTACCTGGGGAGAGATGTGATTTTCCCCCATTTCTCAATGCAGAAGCGCCGAAGCCCATTGCTCCCTCGGAGAGCTGCGAAGCCTTCATAGGGCACACTTGATGTCCCTGTGACGAACTGCAGCAATCTCAGTCTCTGCTCATTATTGAAGCGCTCCACCGCGGCCCAGAACCAGCGGATCACGAGATGCCCATCATGATAGCCTGCTCAGAACAAAGGGAGGGAGAAAGAGAGGATGGGGAGGAGCAAGGGACAAAGGGCAGGGACACAGGCAAGGTATATTAACTGTACAGCGGCTTTGGACCCGCTGATTTTGATTTTTTTCTCTGCTTCTTTGTCTTTCCTTCCTTGTTGTGGTTCTAGACATTGAACAAAGAGCTTTCCCAGTCCTCTTAACATGTTAACATTTTGAGACATGGTCTCTCTAAGTCCCTGTGTTGCCCCATACTTGGCTCCAACTTGAGATCTTTCCTCTTCAGCCTCCCAGAGTGCTGGAACTACAGACTTGTGGTTGATTTTTCTAAAAATGGCCTTTAGCTAGGTTAGGTGGAAAACAATTTGTGTAGGTAGGTCAAGTTTTAAAACCAAAACAGATTTAGAAAAATAGCTATTTTATAAAAGGACCTTATATTCTGGAGATGTCCTTCGAGATATTTCCTATTTAAACAACTAGGACACCACTTTAAATATCCCGGCCTTACATAAATGTCAGCAAGGAATAGAAAGGTTTGGTAGAGACAGACCTTCTGTGGATGCAGGACTTTCCCCCATTTCCTTTATTCTGATGTTTTATCTCCTGGCAACCCCACATCTCAGGATCCTTGACAGAGGCTGGGGTGAACAGCAAGTGTGGCTCAAGGTGTCGGGCTGCTGGCAGCCATCACTGCCGCCAAGAGAAACCCTGCACCATTCAGCAGTAGCTCCCAGGGCTTGGCAGGACTTGCAGTAGAAGTACCAGACCCTCTCTCAGCAGGCTGGAAGGGCCAAGCTTGGACAATTAAGATGAATGATACATCACAAACCCAAGGGGCATTCAGAGATGGGTGATGTGTGCAGGCTGAGGCAGAAGCAGAGAATGCTCCATAAAGGACTTGGAGTATGAGTTCAGGATGCGAAGGACTTGGGTAAGTGGAGGAAAGGGAATGGCAATTCTGGCAGGAGAAATAATAAGAAGAATGGAAAAAAAGAAAAGAAAAAAAAAGACACGTAGGGACCATTCAGCTGGCCAGCACAGAGTGGACCTGAGGGGAAGGAAAGGAAACCACTGGCAGTGTTAGAGGCCTTCATATCTAGGTAAAGACATACTGATGGACACCATAGACCAGTAGTTTCCACACCAGACCAACCTAGAAGCTCCGGTTGCAGAGTATATTGGGTGACGAGGGAGCTAATGGACCCCTAGTTTTTTCACTATCCATTGATTGGATTTCCCTGTAATATTTTACATGAAGGAAGGTTATGAGATTAAAAAAAAACCTTGTAAATGTCTATAAGGAGTGTGCTTTGTGTGCAGGGGAGTGGCCTAATGAAAACTACGTGTATAGCCAGCTGTGGGAGTACATGCTTATAACCCAGCACTCTGGGAGCTGGGGCAGGAGGATGGCAAATATTAGTCCAGCTTTGGCAACTTCATGGTTCAGAGAGACCCTGTGCCAAAAATAAAATATGAACAAAAGAGCTGGGGAAGTAGCTCAGTGTGAAGTTCCTGGCTTAACCTTGACCACTCCAGAACAGTAACAAGTTTCAGGGAGCCTAGATTGGCAGCATGCAGGGTGAACAGACAGGAGGGGCTATAGAGAGACTACAGTTAGAGGTGCAAAGGGCTCTGATCACAAGAAGCAAGAGATGCTTTCTGGACAGCCCAAAATCCACTTGTGAGCTGGTCTGCAGAAAAAGCAACTTCTGTAAGCCTTTACTCAGAATTTGGCCAGGTATTACTGTCCCTGGAAGGACAGCTCAGGTTGGAAGCTGTGTAGGGATCTGTTTTTTGGTGAGGTAAGACCAGGCTTTCTATAGTCATTAGAAAGTCATGAATTGGGTTGGGCATGTAGCTCCTTTATAGAGCATTCGCTTAGTATGTGCAAGGCTCTAGAATAAGCCCTCAGTATTGCAAACAGCAATGCCAGCAACAACAAGAACAACAACTCACGCCTTTCATAACCTGTGAATGAGGTACATGTATATGTGAGGGACTATTACTCAGCCTTAAACAGGAATGAAGAATAGAAACATGATATAACATGGATATATCTCAAGATAGTATTCTAAGCAAAAGAAACTAAACGTACAAATACTTTTTTAGATTCTGCTTATGCCACATATCTAGAGGAGAAAAACCTACAGCCATGGAATTCAGATAGATGGCGAAGGGTGGGGAGAGTAGGAGGTGGAGATTGTTGGGGACAGGGTTCCCTTTTGGGGTGATGAAAGTACTTCAGAGCTAGCTAGAGGTTAGCTAAAGAACACTGTGAATGTACTAAACTGTGTTGAATTCTTACTTTAAAATGGTCAACTTTATATCATTGTCGCCCAAACACAAATATTTTTAGAAGGTCACCAACTCTGCTTGTAACGGGACCGTCACACCAGGGCACACTCACCTCCCCGGTACTCAGTGTTATTCCTCCAGTCATTTAGGTCAATCTCTGCGGTACCAGCGATCACTAGCTCCAGCTCCCTCGCATCGAACACTGAGACGAGTCTTGAGTCTACAACCTGAGACACAGATTAGCTTTAGCACAGAGGCCCACATGCCAAGGGAGGTTGCGGTCACCGTCATTACTGCTGGGGGTGAAACTGGGGACATGGCATTATTTACTCTTTCTTTCTTTCTCTTTTCAGCATGCTATCATGTTTACATTCAAGATCATTATTATGCTCTGAAATTTATCCCTCTCCCCATTCATGCATTGAAATCTTCACCTCCAAGGTGATGGCCTTAGGAGGTGAGGCCTTTGGGGTCATGGGTTGCACCCCTTGTGAATGAGGTTCATGGGCTTTTATCAAGGAAGCTCTGAAAAGACCCTTTTTCCTTCCACTGAACGAGGATATGACCAGAAACTGCCATTTGTAAACAATAAGATGTGAATCTGTTAATGCCTCTTCACCTTGGACTTCCTAGGCTCCAAAACCTGTGAGAAATAGACTTGCGGTGCTTTTGTGCTGTTGGAGCATGGTATTTTGGTAACCTGAATGGATGCAGGCAGTCACTGAGGTAAACATCTTGGTGTACAACCTTCATGGGCTGGCAATAAAAACAGACCCCTGGGTCTGCACCATCTCAGACAGGCATCCAGGAGCAAGGTCACAAGTGAACCTGACCCGGCTTTCTGAAGTCACACTGCAGTTTCCAAGAAACACTGCCTTGTAAAGGCAAAAACTTCCAACCATTCTGAAGTGACTTAATAGCTGTTACCACTACTATTTCACTGAAAGTGTACTTTGTCACGTAAATTATGACCCATTTTTCAAGGCCAGATCACGTCACTGGAGTTTTTGAGAGCTTTTTTACCTCTGACAGAACTGGGTTTCCCAGAGCACTATGAACCTTCTGCCCTCATCTCCGTTGGGTCCTGCTTACACTGCAGGACAGCCCGGGCCTTTGCCTGCCTACCTTCTTCTTCCCCGAATTGCTGCTCCCCAGGAGCCTCAAGGATCAGGGGCCCTAACAGCCTCCCCCAGGCCTCACCTCATAGAAGCCCCGCACCAGCGCCTCTGTCTGCTGCACCACGCCACGCTCCACCCGCCACTTCACCATCCTCTCGATGTATTCCTTCTTGTTCTTCTCCGTCACCTGCGTGTTGGCTCCACCAGACTTCAACTCCCTTTCTGTTACCTGTGGAAACAGGAGGTCATGGCGCTCCTCCTTGTTTCTCATCTCCTGGGAAAATAGCTTGATTTTTGGAGGAGATCTTGGTGTCTCAGAGGGCTTTCAGATTTTGTTTTCCCCTCTGTTCCTTTCCTTTTCCTTTCTTCTCCTCCATTTCTTTTCTTTCTGTTCTTTCCCTTTTGTGACCCTGGAGACTGAACTTGGCCTTTGCTCTGGGCTACATCACCAATTATTTTTTATTTTGAGATAGATTCTTCCTACATTGCTAAGTTGCCCAGTCTGGACTTGAACTTGTGATCCTCCTACCTCAGCCTCCCAGCTGCTGAATTTATAGAAATGTGCTACAAAGCCTGGCTTTGTAATAATTCTATGGCACTTTAATCTTACTTTTGGTACATTTTGCCATGTAGAAGTAAAAAAAAAAAACTTTATTTGACTGTGTCAATCTTTTATGGCTTTGAGTTTTTGTGTTATATAGCAGTATTCCTTGCTGTAATACTACAAATAAAACTTTTCTTCCTTTTCCTCTTTCTCTCTTCTTTAATTCATTTGGAATTTATTTCAGTATTATAAGATAACTGAGGTATCTAAGTTAAAAAAATTAAATTCATTCAGTACATGGCAGGCCAGTTCAATGAATAGCATATTCTTGACTATATTTAAATGTATTCCTATAATGGTAGAAAGAAATACTTTTTCTTAATCACCTATGAGACATTTTTCCAAGGTATATTTATACAAAAGAAATACAAAAGAATTTAGACATTTTCCAGGACCTAGCCCAGATGCTCAATGCAGTAGTGTGTGCTGGGTGACCTGGAGTGTTCTGTGAGTACTCTGACCCTGGTATATTCATGCAAGGAATTGTAACTTCAGTTTCACAACAGCACCATTCCACAGCTTTTGGGATTTTTATTTATCTGTTTGTTAGATTTCTGCAACTGCTGTTCTTCGAATTTTAATTGTTAAATCTGCTCAGATGGTATTTTCTTATCAAATGGAAGCCCATTTGATCAGAAAATTTTCTATTACGTAAAAAAAAAACACTAATAGATAACAAATGGGAAATCTAATCTAGTTAAATAGTCCTGAGATACATGTAAGCATTTTGGAGGATGTGATGAAGATAATTATTCCTGTGGTTTCAGATAGCACAAATACCATACACAAGTGTGATATAGTTCACAAAAATGGTTTCTGATCCATTGCACGTGTAATTTAAACAACTGTATAAAGGTGATCCATGTCATAACAAGAAAAAGAAGGAAGAGGACATGGGAAGATTTATTAAAGGAAATAATCCCCAAAGCATTATATTTGAATGAATGAGATTCCTTGTTCTGCAGATTAAAAGCAACATCTCATTACTACATGCTCTAGAAATCCTAACTTTGAAAGCAGGCCCTCGTACACATGGCTGCTGCTGTGGCATTATTCACAACACCCAAAAGGTGGAAGAAATTCAGGTGCCCATCAACAGATGAGTGGATGAATGAGAAGGCTGACTCACATACATACTGGACTATCACTCAGTCTTAAAAAGCAAGAAAACTCTTGACACATGCTCCCGCATGGAGGACATTACGTTAAGTTAAGTAAGACAGTCATAAAAGATCAAAGCTGCAGGTTTCCCTTATGTGAAATATGTGGAGCAGACAAATTCATAGAAATGGAAGTTGAGTGGAGTTGCCTGGAGCTGGAGGGTGAGAGAAATGGAGGTTTGTTTCAGTTTTGCAAGACAAAATGGTTCTGGAGACTGGATGTCCTACAGTGAGAATACACTTAATAATATTAGGTATACACTTAAAATGGTTAAGCTGGTAATACAGGGTTTACAGGGTCTCACTACACAGATCGGACTCACAGTGATCTTCCTGTTTTCAGTTTCCCAAGCACTGGGATCACAGGCGTATGCCACCATGCCCAGTCTTAAGATGGTAAATTTTGTTATATGTTGTTATGGCTTGTTTTTAGATGTCCCTCCAAAGTCTCTTGTTGCTATAGGTGGGGTGTTTTCAGAGGTGGTGGAATCTGGAGTGTGTGAGGCTAGAATTGACTTGTGGTGCACTGCTAGGATCTAGGGTGCTAGGACTGAAGGTGTGAGTGTCACGTGACCTAAGGAGCCTGTGTAAGTTATAAGAGATAGAAAGAGCTGTGGTTGATCCTTGTTGTTTTGCTACCTTCTGCCCACCATGAACTGTATCTCCTCTGAGATGCCACCCCACCTTTGAGCCAGTCGAGTATGGACTGAAGCCTCTATAAGCTGTGAGCTACATAAAGCTTTCCTCCTTTAACTTTGGATGTTGAGTATTTTGTCTCAGCAAAGCAAAAAGTAACTAAACATGTATTTGCCAGAGTAAAATGCAAAATTCTTTTCTATGCCCACATCACACAAACCTGTCCAAAAACTTCTTCGTTAACAGTGAAAGTGAGGTCAAGGATATCTGTGATGTTGTTGTCCTTCATCCATTGCAAGCTCTGGTGGAATTCCTCATCCAGATATTCCAGGTCACTCAAGTCGCAGGGCCTGCACGGATCCCATAGAAGTAAGATGGACAGAATTAGGGACCAAATTGCTGCCCAGACTCTACTGAAAAATGTAATTATGCCACTTTGGGCTAAAACGGTGCAGATGTAATTTAACAATTTGATAATTTTAAATATACTACTAAGTCAATATAGTCAATAGTTTTGGCTCATCCAATAATTCTGCTTTGCAAATAAGTTATTAAAATAGTTAAAATAATAAAATAGTTATAAATCATTATGGAGTCATGGACTCTCATTTTAAAGCAACTAGTAGGTATGATCAAAAAGTACAGAGAAGAGCTGGCCAAATAGCTCAGTGGATTAAAGCTCCTGCAAGGGAGCTGGGAATTCGATCCCCAGGCTTGCCATGCTGGCCCCACCTCTGGGGAGCACTGAGACAGCAACTGAGACTGGGCGTGGTGGTGCACGCCTATAAACCCAGCTTTTGGGAGACTGTAAACAGGCAGATCACTACGAGTCCAATCTAGTAGTGAGACCCTGAACACCCTGTAGACCCTTCCCTAAAATACTAAATAAATAAATAAATAAATAGAAAGTACAGGGAATGTCTAATTTTTTTTTGGGGGGGTCAAAAATTTTTATTTAACAAGTTCACAAATTTGACACATTAAGGTAGTCTGCTTTTGTTTCCCAACACCATATTCTGTAATAAATTCTACAGATAAAAAAAATAATTAACACATTGCCTATGTTCCTCCCAGTGGTTAACTGCTGTACAAAATGCGTACATGATATCCTATGTACAAACACCATTAGAACAAATCACTCTATTCATTAAGAGAATCTAACTATATATCTATCCTAACCACTGTGAATACACAGATACAAAATGGACATTCATCTGTATACCCTTTTTCTGTTAAGTTCCATTATTTGAATATTATAGGTGTGTTAACTCAGCAATATATTCTAAAAGAGTTCAGAACTCCATAATAGTATTGGTCCTTCTGCTTCATGGGCAATGTCAGAAATTGTTGACCTGAGTCCCCTACAACTCAACATAACAGCATGGCTTTACTTCTTATATTTCGTTTTTATACTTTTCTGCTGGGTGGTTAAGACAAAGGTAATCTGTTTTTTTTTTTTTTTCAAAGTTTTATTGACAAACAGATAGCAATGAGACAGTTTCAAATCAAATCGGAAGGACAGTTTCAACATATAATACACTGCATATATTCTTCTTAGTGGTTAATTGCTGTACAAGATGCGGACTTGTGATCCTATTTACAAACACCATTAGAACAAATCATTCTATTCATTAAGAGAATGCAACTATATATCTATCCCAACCTCTTTGAATACACAGATACAAAATGGACATTCATCGGTATACCCCATTTTTTCTAAGTTCCGTTATTGAATATTATAGGTGTGTAAACTCAGCAAAATATTCTAAAAGAGTCCAGTAGCCTATAATAGCATTGGGTCTTATATTTAACTGGCAATGTCAGAAATTATTGACCTGAGTCCCCCACAGCTCAACTTAACAGCATGGCTTTATTTCTTAATGTCTAATTTTTTTAAAAAAATTATTATAATAAAAGACATTACCATTAGTTCCCTCCAAAACAATCCTTCTTTTCTGACACTTATTCCATCTTTCTTTCCCCTTTCTGCAGCCACTCTGGAAGTCCTCTTCCATGAATGTCTTTAGAGGTGCTTTTGTGGCTACTGATGTCATGAACTGATTCAAAACATTTACCTTTCTCAGTCATGTTGACTTTGGAGAAGGGTCAGAAGTCACAGTGCCATCCAGGTAGACGAGGAAGCCTGACAGTGCTTTTGGGAGCCTGCCTTTCTGTGGGATGCCACACAGGAACATCACCAGCTGCATTTTTAAATACACCTCATAGAGACATTCAGGGAGGAGTTCTTCCATAACTGCTTCAGAGAATGGCAAGAGTGATTGGATATGTGTGTCCCAAGTGAGAAGGAAGGCTTTAGAGGAGAATGAAAGGCCATGTGCCTTTTACTATAAAGGATTTTTAAAAATTTAAGTATTCACTGTGTTTTTCTATCACATGTAGTAAGGTGTAAACAAATCAATTCTGCTTAACAGTTTAATGCAATGTTTGTAATAGTATACTTTTTATATAAATTGATTTATGTGCATTATATGATGTTTTGCTAATAGCATGTTTTCTTATGCTTAAACTCTCCAAATGACTGTAATTATGCTAAAAATTGTATGTGATATGCAAGGCATTCACAGCAGGAAACCACAAGGCACCTAAAAGGAATGACTGGAGCAAAACAGAGACAAAGGGTCCAAGGCATCAGGAAGGCCAGTACTGCCGTCCTGAGGAAGGGCTGTCACCACTGTCTGCCACACACTTACAGCCTCAGGAGAGCCTTGTAGAAAGGCCTCGTGAAGAAGGCATCCAGGAGGTACTGATGGATCAGGGCCAGGCCGAGGATACGACCGCTAAACCTGAACCTGGAACAGACAAAACAGAGAAATTTAAGGATCAGTGGGAACTTTATATCATTAAATGTTTTAATTCATACTTTTATTTCATGTGTTTCTGTCCAGTATTCATCTTAAGCTGCTATAGGAATTTTCCTGTGGATGTTGCAACAACAGCAGTCACTTTTCCCTCCATTCTTTGCCATAAACAATGGTGTATGGTTGGTATTATCAAAGGAAACTTCTCCCCATTGTATCCGAAGAGTCATTTTGTTTTCCAGAATCTTCTGGTATTATTAGAAACCAAGAAGAAAGCACCAGGGAAGGAGAACACAGGAATATGAGATAAAAAGGCCCACACAAACCCAAGGAGGACTTAAACCCATGGACCCAGAAAGCTTTCTGGACAGAGTATCATTATCTGTTCAAGTATTCAATAGTATCTCCTGATTGTATTCACAATCAGGGAGGTCGAGGTCTTGAGTGCGAATCATGTCTGGCAGCTGTGCTCATACAGTGGGAAGAGTTATATACAACCTCAATGGGATAGGAGGCATGCTAAGTAAGTGTGAAGGATTGCACTGTCTGCCATACACAAAGAAAGAACAAGGTCCCTGAAGGGAGGAACTGCTCATGGGCAGCTGGCCACCTCTAGAGGTGGTTTAAATCCTTGTTGGGGTGACTACTTTCTGGAATTTCTTCTGGTGGGAAATGCTGAGGCTTCCTGGAGTTTGATCACATTATGGCCTTGCTTCTGAGCCAGCTTCCAATCTGCCTGGTTCAACAGCCCATGGCTTCCTGCCATGAGCACCTCTCCTGTCTCTGTATCTAGCTCCACAGCTGGGTCCCCTGGTTTCCTATCCAACCATCTTTTCATCTAATGTGACTTTCCTCACATCATCCCAACTAACTCATCTCCTATTGCCTTCCATGAGGCTCTTTCTTGAGATTCTCTATTGCATACGAGGTACAGTAAAAATATGCTGAATGTTTAAGTCTGTAAAATAAAGTAAAAGACACATTGACAAGAATCACCTCAAAATAGCCCCCTCTCTCCTTATCCCATGTCACTGCCATGTTCTAAAGCAGATCTAAAAGTCCTCTTTCAGATTTTTATGAGGCGTAACAAAAAATGCGAGTACCCAGGTGTAGCGGTACACACCTGTGATCCCAGCACTCAGGAAGCTGGGACAGGAAAATTGCTGTGAGTTCCAGGTAAGACTGGGCTACATAGTGAGTTAAAGACCAGTCTGAACTACACAGAAAGACCCTGCCTCAAAAGCAATCACAGCCACCACCACCACAACCGCCACCACCACCATCACCACCACCACCGCCACCACCATCACCACCACTACCACGACCACCACCA